ACGTATGTTCAGTCTTGCACATTTGCCCCCTTGGGGTATTTTTCAAAAGGATTCTTAAAGTTGAAAGGACTGTCCCTGCTCTCTCCCAGCAGAAATAGCCTGCTAGGGAATAGGTGTGTCTTGGTTCTGTGAAGCAGTGGAGTGGACCTGAGGGTCTAACTGCTCCCGAGTAGACTTTCAAGAAATTCTCCTGCTTTCAGCTTCACTCCGTATCTCCAGCTCATCGCATACTGTTGCCTCTGGTTCCCGAGGTTTCCCCAGGTTCTGTGGCTCAGATTGGCTGCTTTTTGTTGGCTTTCCTCCCTGCTGGCGCCTGGGTTTCAGCTTTCTCCACTCTGCAAGGTCCATCAGTCTTCCACTTCCTTTGTCTTTGTTTCCTTTCCTTGTTACCTTTCATTTCCTTCCCTTCATTTTAGAGAGGTTTCTGAAGGGAACAGAACAAGCACATTGTTTAACTTTACATATTTGTCCACTCAGTGTGGTTTTCAAACGGATTCTTGACACTGGAAGGGCTGTCCCTGCTCTCTCCCAGGGGAGAAAGCCGCCTAGCTCACATCAGATCTCCTCAAGAGCAGGATGAAGGAAGGCTTGCCAAGCTCTGAAAGGTTGCCAAGCCTGGGCCACTTCTTTGGTTGAGATAAAGTATTTAGCTTATTAATTTGTTAAATGGTATGAATTGGTTAAAAATAATAAATAATAATAATAATAATAATAATAATGCTTGTATATGATATTTCTCCCATCTAAGTACTAACCAGACCTGACCCTGCTTAGCTTCCAAGATCAGGCGCGTTCAGGATGGTATGGCCAAAGACAGAATGTGATATTTCTAAAAGTGCTTCACAACTATCCAAGAAGTACAGTACTCACAGGGAGACGTGGCCAGCATTTCTAACTAAAAACCGTACTTCTATTCCAGGAATCTGATACCAAGTCTTCATAAAAGGATTCTCTTCATCCATAATTTAAACACTTTATTTTACTTCAGTTTTTTCTAGTAGGTTCACAGGTACCCTATGATGAAACCAACATCTTTTTAACCTGTGCAAAGAAACTGGGAGATGTGTATATAGTGGTATTGCCCTATTACTGAGATATACAAGTAGAATTCTATATTTACCACTAGAATTTCATGGTCACCACCATCCCCCAGTGCTTTTAAAGAAGAGAAGCCTGATAGCTTATAGTCTTCATTGCATTAGGAGGCTCCCAAAGTCCTGTGGGTTTTTTTTCTCCCTACAAAGTCTAAATTAATTACCTTCCAAATGAGCCATTTATGTTAACATCAACTTTTTTAAAGACCTAACATTTGTATAACACATTAGGAATTTGTATAATGCTTTCGAGTTTTTTTGCATGCGTTTCTCAATTTCTCAAGCTTGTGCCCAATGACCTATATGGTTTTCAAGCTTACTCACGAGTCATTTGCATTTCTCCGTGGAAGGATTTCACAGTCACTTATTAAAAATGCCAGTATTTTGCTGTTCATTGTGCATACACAAGCCTGCTCTACTTCTAATGACCTTGTTTGCCTTTCCTTTTCTCTTTTCTAATTCTTTTCCCAGGAATCCCACAAGACAGGAATGAAGTGCTTTAGTCTGATGACTCTCTGCAGAAAGAGTGACCGAAAACAAGCTGCTGCCAGGTTTTATAGCTTTCTTGTCCTAAAAAAACAGCGCGCTATTGAGCTGAGCCAGAGTGCCCCCTATGCAGACATTATCGCTACAGTGGGACCCATGTTCCATAAAATATGAAGAAGCTGAAACCGGTTTGGCTCAGTGGATAGAGTGTTGGCCTGCGGACTGAAAGGTCCTGGGTTCGATTCTGGTCAAGGGCATGTACCCTGGTTGCGAGCACATCCCCAGTCGGAGGTGTGCAAGAGGCAGCTGATCAATGTTTCTCTCTCATCGATATTTCTAACTTTCTATCCCTCTCTCTTTCTAAAAATCAATAAAATATATTTTAAAAATATGAAGGAAATTCAGAATATGCAGATGTATGTCATCATTGGAATTTCTGTATAGATTGCTCGATTTAATGCAGCAGCCGCCTGGAAGCAGTTGAAGGTCTGATCCCTTTCATAGACAAGCCAACCTCCCATTTCTTCTTTGTAAGTTCAGAATAATCATAGCCAGAGCTGGAAACGTATATGCTCACAGAAATACTAAGTTATAGCTGAGTAATAGTTTTAACTTAGCTGACTTGAATGTATAGCATGTACCATTTCCCTGACTTGAATGTTGCATTTAGAATACATTTAAAAAATATTATATGCCTTCAGGAAACATTCAAGGATGTTATTAAAAGGCTACTTTACATTGGAATATTTATTTTAAATTTATGGGACTAATTAATAATTAATACTTTTTTATTTCCCCACAGACAATAATTTACTTAGTTTCACATTTTTATTTCAGAGAGGAAGGAAGAGGGGAAGAGAGACAGGAACATCAATGATGAAAGAGAATCATTGATGGCTGCCTCCTACACGCCCCCCACTGGGGACTGAACCCACATCTGGGCATGTGCCCTTGACCGGAATTGAACCCGCCAGACCCTTCAGTCCATGGACTGTTGCTCTATCCACTGAGCCTAACCTGCTAGGGCCAGAGAATAGATTATTTGATTCAAATGCATATCATCCTTGATTTGAACTAGTGTCATGGTTTTCAATCGAATATCTTAATTGAAGAGTTATAAAATTCATCTTTGATTTAACTTATCTGAGTGGCTGTTAATCTATTTATAAGTCATTTAACCTTTTTGTTCCCTACTTAATGATTATTATAATCACCACTCATATGTCAGGAAAACTAAGTATGTTTCTCATGTTTAAAATATTAGCAGATATGTTGTCTGCAGCTGAATTCAAGTGAAGGTTACTAAAATAAATGTTCTTTTACTTGGTGTTTACTAAGCATTTCTTACATTAAAACATTTTTTTTTCTTATTTGGAGTTTGCTTGGAAGTTTTCATATAATGCTCTGTGAGCTCTGTAGTATACTGTAAAATGAAGCCTGTGATATTCTCTAAAATACTGTTATGCTACAAACTAAATTCTAAATGGCTTCTTTGAGTATATTAACCATAAGATTTAAATGTCAAATTGCCTTTTTAAAATTTAATATACAGAAATTTGACTTTTTCGTTTTGGTGCACAGTTCTATCCATTTTAACACATATATAGATTCCTGTAACCACCACCACAGGCAAGATGCCAACAGTATCATCAACCAAAAAAACTGCCTTATGCTGTCCCTTCCTAGTCTCAGCTTTCTCCCGTTCTAATTCCTGGCAACCACTCTACCACAGGATTATAGTTTTATTTTTTATTTTTTCGTTTTCATGTAAGTAGAATCATACAGTCTATAATCTTCTGGAGACTGGCTCATTTTACTCCCTGTAATGTCTTTGAGATGGGTCCAAGTTGTTACATGTAGCCCATAGTGCTGCTCAATTCTCAGTCATCTTTGCTTATTTCCTGTTGCTTTGCTTATGTTCTGTTGTTGAGAAAGGAGTGTCCATGTCTGGAGCTGTCATTGTGAATCTGTCTATTTCTCCTTTCAGTTCTGACAGTTGTCGCTTCATGTATTTTGAAACTCTTTTATTAGATGCGTTCACATGTGTAATTATTATGTCTTCCTGCTGAAGTGGCTCTTTTATTGCTGTACAATGGTTCTCTTTATCCCTAGTAATTTTCTTTGCTCTGAAGTCTTTCTTTTTTAAAATTGAAATATGATGGGCATACAATATCCTATCAGATTCAGGTGTACATTATAGTGATTCGATATTTACATATAGGGTATGTATACATATGCTTTGAGTAATTATAAAAGCAGTGTTTATTAAAACACATTTCATTTTGGAAATTGACCTATCAGCTGTTAAAGTGTGTATATATTTTTTGGTATACCTGTACGTTACAAAATGATCACTACAATGAGTTAGCATTGGTCACCAAAGTTATTACAATATTACTGACTGTATTTCCTTCCCCACGCTGTATATTATATCCCTATGACTTACTTATTTTATAACTGGAGTTTGTACCTTTTAATCCCCTCCACCTATTTCACTTATACCTCTATTCCTCCTCCCTCTGGTAATCATCAATTTGTTTCCTGTATCTATGAGTCTGTTTCTATTTTGGTTTGTTTGGTTTGTTTTTGAGATTACACATGTAAGTGAAATCTTATGGTATTTGTTGCTCTCTGCATGTAAAGTCCTTTACTTATACTAAGCTATCCAGCTTTCCTTTGATTAGCATTTGCATGGTATATCTTTTTCCATCTTTTACTTTTAGCCTATCTATCCTATATAATAAAGAGCCAATATGCAAATATACACCCTCATACCATAATGCCCTCACACAGTAACAGCTCAAACACTCAATACTGGGGAGAGAGGAATGGCGACCAGCCAAGCTGCAACCCAGGAGAGGGACAAGCCCCCTGCTCCACAGTCCCAGGAACCAGCAGCTGGGGCTGCGGCCTGGGAGAAGGACAAGCCACACACCCTGTGATCCTGGGCAGGCGCCAGCGCCTGCGGCTGCAGCCCTGGTGCAGCCAGCCCAGGCAAAGCCAGCCCCGGTCTTGGGTATCTGCGACCAGCAGGAGAAGGAAATCCTGGGTCCTGCATGCAGAGCGAGGCACAGGCAGTTAGGGGCTAGCAGGGGAGCAGTTAGGGGCAATCAGGCAGGTAGGCAGAGGTGCCAGGAAGCCAGTTTGGTGTCCTTCTCCCACGTTTCAGAGCAGAAAGCTGAGGCCCAGAGAGGCTAAGGGACTGTCCCAGGGTCACACAGCGCCCAGGGTCACACAGCCATTCAGTGAACCAGCGCCCTCTCCCGCGATGCCCCGCCGCCTGGGACAGGCCGGCGTGGAGGTGACCGAGGACGCACTCCGCGCTCCCGTGTCCGCCCCCACGCCCTGGGAGGGAGTCCGGCGCCCACTATCTCTTTAAGGAGGAGCGTGCAGACCGGCCGCTGACGCAGCTGCCGGCGAGCCGCCGACTGGCTCATCCTCCATCCACCGCGCCCTCCCGCCCCGCCCTCCGGCAGCCCAGCCCCGGCGAGCGAGCGCCCGGTCCGCCGCCTCCAGCAGGGGCTCCGGAGAGCAGGTCGGCGGCCCCGGCCGGGCAGCCGGAGCCATGGGAGCCTCCACAGGTGATGGCAGGGTCTCCGGGGACCTCTGCGCCCACCACCCCGCTGCGCCCGCCGCCCCCGGGGTGCTCGGTGCAGTGGGGGGAGGGGAGGCGCGCACCGCAGGGAGGAGCGGGCCGGGCGCCGGGGCCGGGCAGGCAGCGCGCCCTCTGGCTCCCTGGCTGAGGGGCCCCGCTGTCAGCGGGCAGCTGGGGGTTTCCCTGCCCGGCGTCCCCGCCCGCGCTCACCGCACCTGTCTGTCTGTCTGTCTGTCTGTCTGTCTTCTTCCCCCGCCGCCGCCGCAGGTTGCTGATCGCGGCCGGGCAGCTGCAGCAGCGACTGCAGAGGCGCTGCGCCAAGCCGGGCCGGAGCTGAGGGCGAGCGGACTCAGGTGAGGAGGCCGCGGGGCCGGGAGGGGCCCCTGCGCTGCACCGCAGCGGGCGGCGGGCGGGGGCCTCTCGCTGCGGTAGAATCCTCAGGGGGCACCGGCCGAGGAGGGGTTAACTGTGACTCATTCATCCCCTCCCTTCGTTCCCCTGCACCCTGCTAATGGCACCCACCACCGCGAAACCCACACCCCGGGAATGCCAATTGCAACGGGGAAGATGCCCACGATGGGCGATGGAGAGGACTCTGGGGACTGCCCCCATTGCCGTGGGTCTTCCTCTCCCGCATTTGGCAGACACGCTCTCCTCTTTCCTCTCGGAGGAGGAGCAGGGCTCCCCGGGGGGCGGAAGGAGGCTGGAACCCCACACCCAGCCCAAGGTCAAGTGCCAGTGACTGCCTCCTTCCCACATCCCCCCTGAGAGGCATCTGGGCCCTGCAGGAGGTCTGGAGGAAATGCCCGTGACCTCTAAGGCGGGAGGTCTTGGCCTCACTCTGCCTGGAGCTTCCTGGGTGGGATGCTTCCTCCTCCCTCTCCTCTCAGGGAGCTGGGCGGTTAGAGCGCCTGCTGGCCTGAGAGGCCCTGCAGGAGAGGGGGCCGGGGTCCACATGGCCTGTTCCCTCTGCCTTCTCTGCCCACCGGGTGGGGGGGGGGGGGCGGGGCGCGGGGGGATGAGCTGGAGTTGCTTCCCCCCAGAAAACGGTGATTTCTGCAGGCTGGTGGAGCAGGGAAAGTGCCAGAGATGGGGTTCTAGTCCTTAGCTTGCTAGTAGGCTACTAGTAGCCATTTTAAAATCCTTCAGGCGTGGGTGTCTGTCTGCTCGTCTGTTCATTGCAGGAGTTGGATTAGATGGTCTGTACAGTTTTAATATGCCACTCAGGCAGCTTTAAAGTGGCAGGAGATCCATCTCTTAAAGCAACCCGGGATTTAAACTCGAGTCTATGAAATAATTGGGGTTTTCCCCAGTTGATCCCGTTTGACTCCTGGCTTCTCAAGGGAAACCCTGACCTTGTGGGTCTCGTGGAACTGGGGGTGCCAGGCCGTCCTCGCTGACCATCCCTGTGCCATCCTTAGGGTGACCTTTGTCAAGTTCCTCCCCCTCCCCAAGCTTCAGTTTCCTCGTCTGTGAATCGGGAAGAAGGGTACGTATCTCAGAGGGTGGATGTTGGGATTAAAGGAAACCCTGCAATTGTACCTGTGCCTGGCACATAGTAGGTTTCGGAGACAGGGGACTTAGGGGATAGACGGGGGAGAAGGAAGAGGAGTAGCTGCTTTTCGTCCTCTTTTCTCCGCCTGGTACCCCCAGCCCACCCCAGCAGCCTCTTCTCCATCCCTGCTGATGGTGGCCCTGCCAGGGGGCTAATGATGCTGGAGTGCGTCAGGCTGCTGGGCCCAGGGCCTAGGAAGCAACATTCCCACTGCAAGGGCTATGACATCATTTTAGCGAAAGATGGTCCCAAAGAGGCATAGATGGTCCCAGCAGTGGGTTTGGAAAATCTTGGCATCTGAGGGCAGAGTCGCTAAGGGAACAGAGGCATCAGAATCGTGTGTGCCAGCAGGGGATGAGGCCGAAGGCTTCCTGGTTTCAAATGGGCCCCTGCTGCTCCCTTGTCCTCTCCGGAGACAAGGCAGTCAGTCCAGTTTTTAGTGTCCGTATTTTCTGTTCTTTGTCTTCTTCCCTGCTGTGATTTTTCAGGCTTGCACTTCCCCTTTCTTTCTCCAGCTTATTCCACAGATACCTCCTGCCTCTTGCTAGCATGATGAGGAAGGTGCCCCATGGGCTGGGGCGGGGATTTTGCTGCTGGCCCCTTTGGGTCAAAAGAAGTTGTGGTGCATCCATCTGCCCTGTTTCCTCCTGGCAGAGGCCCTGTCTTCTTCCTCTCTGTGTCCTCGGCCACTGGTCTGTGGCTAGGCACAACGTAGGTCTTCAGGAAGTTTGAGCAAATTATGTTCCTAAGCCAACTGGGTTAGGGAGGGAGAAGTTTTCAGAATGTGTTGATGGTCACCTTTAAGTACAGGGCATTGTGCCAGTTCCTGGTTGTCACTTCTGTTATTAATTCTGTTGTTATCGCTATTGCCAGTGGCCAACAGCTGTCTTACCTTCTCAAGTCAGGTTTAAAGGAGCTGGCTGTGCCCGGGAGAGTGGTGTCGCTGGCAAGCAGATGGTGCTAAGGTGACTATGAAGGGAAGAGGATTGGGAAGAGAGTGACTCCAGCCACTTGCTGTGTTTGTGGGGTAGAGGCAGATGAGAAGAGTCAAGTGAGCCAAAATGGGTGCAGGGTACAAAGCCAGGAGACCCAGGTCCCGGGTCTCATTCCACCAGCTCACTGAGTGACCTTGGGCCAATAATCACGCCTCCTCTCAAGATCTGGGTCTCCGGCTATAAAATGAGAGGACTGGACCACATGGTCCCCCAGGTCCTGACATTTTTAAGGGGATTTTGTTAAATAAAAATGAGAGCATTCTTGCTCTCAGTATCATTGATGGAGTACCAGCCCATTCCCTATCTCATGTCATCCACATAGAAAAGTTAACCCATTTGAGAGAGGCTGAGGCTGAGGCTTAGAGAGATTGACTTGCCTACGATTGCACAGCTGGAAGGCGCAGAACTATTATCTGACACCAGGTCCACCTGACTCCAAAGAGCATACCCTTGCAAAAGTCTCACTGCCCTGAGTCAGACCCGCTGTCATCGCTGTGAGCGTGTGTACGCTGCACGTGCACACAGTGGTTTGGAGATGGGAGAAGCATCTCCCTGAAGGGATTACTGCAGAGGGCGTGCCGGGCCGAAGCGTGCTTACCTCGGTGCGGAGACGTCTTCCTTGCACTGTGCACTCTGCTAAGTTGGTGGGTGGCAGGTGCCCTTTACCACGGAGAATGGCTCGGAATGAATGGCCGTCACGACAGACACCCTCTTTGAGCGCTTCCTGTGTGCTATGTTGTTCCCCTCAGAAAACCCCATTCTCTAGGCACCCCAATGTTACCCACTTCACAGCGAGAAAGTCAGGGCGGACCCGCAAAGGGTCTTGCCCGGAGTTACACAGCAGATTTGTTGTGAAACCTGAGCAGGTGGAGCTGGAAGTGCGCTGTCCGGGGAGTCAAAGAGCTGCTTTTAGTCCGTGCCCGCTCATTGACGGAGGAGCTGTGGGTAAGCCAGTTTCCCTCTGAATGTCGGTGCTCCCCTCCCACAAAAGGACTGGCTGAGTCTGCCGGCTGTAAGAGACCCAAATGCCACCTTGTCCCAGAATAGGAGTGAAGGGGATTCCTTGTCTGGAGGACGTTAATCGGCATCTGTTATTTATTAGCCCCCGGGGTAAGTGCAGGGGCTACAGGAAAGAGGAAGAGTTGATCTTCAGTTGTTAGAAGCTGACAGAGGAGACAAGTATCTAAACATGTGGGTGATGCGCCGTCTGGGGACGTGAGGATACTGACAGGGGCTGTGATGGGCCTGGGAGGGGGAGGGATGGTCTTTTCTACTCGGAGGCCAGGAAAGCATCGGAGAGCTGATACCATTGTCATCTCCTTATTTCCGGCATTGAGTTTATGCAAGAGGAGGAGGAGGAGGAGGAGGAGGAGGAGGAGGAGGAGGAGGAGGGGAATGATAAATCTACCCAGCTTAGGATATTTCCAAACAATTTTAAAGTCTTATTGGCTCTTGATCCCAACAACCCACAGAGTAGCCACAGCCACCTGAGGGACCGCTCAAGCCCACTGTGTGGCGCACTCCTTGGGGCTGCCCACGTGCCCTGGGTGGGCCTGAAGCTCCCCTCCTCAGGTGCTTATGGAGGCAGGACTCTGGCATTCCTCTTGGGAAGCCTGTCAGGTGCCCACAACCGTGCAACAGCGTTGGGGAATCTTCCTCCCAGATACCATTCCTGCTGTCTGCCGCACCTAACCCCTGGAGAGGTAAAGGCGTTTACCCACGATCCCTCAGCAAGCCTGGGGTCCTAACTCTGGCCTAGCGGAATGGCATTTCTCAGCTGCATGCAGTCACTCTGCATCCAGGTCACCAGGGGCCTGAGGGGCCGTGTCTCCATCTGACGGGCAGCTCACACAGAGGGAAGGTTCGGTGCAGGTGAAATGAAGCTCGGGCTGAGGGCCCCGGAGAGGGAGAGGCCGGTGTCCCCTCCGCGGCTTTGCACCTCTTCATAGACGGATATTCACAAAGCTCTTGTCACATGCTCAGCGCTGTCCTCTGAACCGAGGTGCTGAGTCAGCCAAGAGGGAGAGTCTGGGAAGCAGTGGAAAGAGCCAGCGCGGAGCTGGGAGACGCACCTCGCTCTGCCAGCAGCTCCCTGGGTGGCCGAGGCGAGGCCCTTTGCTTCTCCACACCTGCAGAACGAGACAATTCAGCCGCGCTCTCTTCTGTTCTGTAGCCACTCTGGGGGGCACAGGAGTGGATGGGATACAGATCGCTGTAACCCGAGGACGAGTGAGATAAATATAACAAGAGGCGAGAACAAGCGCTCTGTCGGTCTGCTGAGGGCCGGGGCTGGGGAGAGGCTCAGTTAAAAGCCGCCTCTCCGGTGATGGGACGGGATGCGATGCCGATAAAGAGGCTGGGGGTTTTAAGCCACAGGAGTCGCCGAAGCAGCCTGTCATCCTGGGACAGGAGGCTTCAGGGCACAGCAGCGGACCCCGGACTTAGATTTCAGACATCGGTACGTGTGGGAGTCTGAGCTAGGCCGGCCAATGCTGTAGTCTGCCATCTGCGGACATTCAAAGGGCAGTGAGAGTTCTGTGTACTATCGCCATCCCGCAGTGAGAGAAAGTGCATTTTAACACTTCCAGCTCCCATGAGCGAAGGCCGCATCATATCAGGGGAGAAAGGGCTTCTTCAAACTGAGTGCATTTTGTTTTACTAAGCACGGCGCTGCCCATTAACGTTGCCGCAGACGCGTGTCCTTGTGTTTGACTCGAGTCAGGCTGCTTGGGTTCAAATCCCGGCCACGTTACTCGTTCTCTCAGATCCTCTGCTTCCGCATCTGTAAAATAGGGGAATGGTG